ACTGATCCGAGTAGTCTTGCCTGCGCCGTTACATTAATAGAGTTATATTAAAAATAGCTATAGCGTATTATAGAGAGAGGTTCGCGTCTTATTTAAGAGCTTAGAGAGTAAGCTATATTTAATATTTACTAGAGGGCTCTATTTGCTATTATTATTGCAATATTAGGGTGGGGTAGTGGTTTTAGTGGGGTCTTGGCAAAAGTGTTGCACGAACCTGTGTGTTACACGAATCCGTGAGGTACGTTAAGCTTTTTATTAAACATTTAGAAAACCGTTAGTTATGTACAGTGATTTATGATTTTAAACTATATGGAATATATCTCTTCTACGCGATTATTAATCTTTATAGTTTATACTATAGAGTAAGCTATACTTAGTATTAACACTAACTATACTATCAAATATAGCTATTAAAGTCACTACAGACATGTGCATTATCATAGACTACACCTTCATCTCAACATCAGCGCTTAAACTTTTCCTCAGCCGCTTCCAAAGCTCCTCGTGCCTGGAAGACCTAGCAGCGTGTTCTACTATGAAATTGCCAGCGACGGCAGTGATAAGTGCCCCCAGATCTAGGAGCATATGCATAAGTCCTAGCGCGGTGCTGCCGATTTCCATAGGTGCGACTTGCAGCAGCATGTTGAGCAGTCTTGGGAAATGGCACCCTCAGCGTTCAAACCGGCTCCGATTTCAACCAGCAGCTGTATGATTTTGACGAGGTCCCCGATCGAGGGCCCTCTGTCGCCCTTGGTGGACCTATTCTACGGATACCGATCCCACGAGAGGAATGACAATCTGGATTTGCCTACCGTGGGATTATACATGGCCACATTCGCAAGCTGGAAATCTTCCCACACTTCCCTCCTCAGTTCCGCCTGATGGAGATCACGGATTCGGCCGACGGCCTTGTGCAGTGGCGTGCCGTAGTACATGTCTTCGAAAGTGACATCGTCGCTGTGATCGAGCAGTGATTCCGCCAGATTTAGGTTGGCCTTGCTCACAGCGCCATGCAGCATAGTTTCGCCTTTGTCGTACTTAAAGTTGATCAGGCCAACTTGCGGGAGACAGCCTAGCACAAGCTGAATCCCTGCTTCTGGCCGTGAAAAGTCGAGATCCGTGGGTATCTGCAGCCAGTGGCCTTGGCAAGCATGACTCTTTATGAATTCCAGTAGACGGAGAAGCTTGTCTGAGAAACCTTGTACTAAGGCTAGACCGAAGGCGTGGTAATCGCAGTGGCCTTTGTCGTAGGGATCTGCACCTCCTTCGAGAAGTTGAAGAAAGATTCCCGTAGACATGTTACGGAGAATGCCCGCTTCAATGGCAGACTCATCGCATCCCTTAAATTTCGGATCCGCCCCCGCTTCAAGCAGATAGTGGATCGTCGACTTGAAGTCAGACCCAGGATGTTGCGTGTTGGGCTCGTCATGTGAGAATGCTGCCCCATCGCCTTGTGCCATGACGGGAGGGTTCCCGAAAACCTCCCCCAGTATTCTTCTGTTGTTATTGTGCGGATCCGTCCTCGTTTTGGGATTTGCCCCGTGCTCCAGCAGCAGCTCCACCGTGACCGCCTGGCCGTTTCTGGTGCTCCTGAGCAGTAAACGTTACAACGACTTTATTGTGTGTAACCACGCCCCGAAGTCCAATCAATGGCCCGCTATTTTCTTTCTCCAGAAGCGATGGCCAGAACCAAGGGCGTGTATTCGACGCATATCGATTCAAACCTGCTAGTTTGCTTGTCGGTGCCCCGGTCGGACAGGGAGCCAATGGCCTCAAGATGAGTGACGTCAACAAGTGAGAGCAACCTATCAATAACTTTCTCGTGCACGCTCCATGGGATCGTAATCCCTCCTCTTCTAAAATAGGCGTGGATGTACTTACCACTGATCGCTCCCAACGCTAACCCACATAGAAAGACAATGAAGGGCGATAATCCCTATCCCATTCATGGCATCCACATGGTATACCTTCTCATTCAGAGAGTTTATGAGCCTCACATCCCATGATTTGCAGGCCATGTGGAGTGTCATATTTCCATCGTTGTCGAGAGCGTCGAGCGAGGCACCTCGGGAGAGGGGAAGCCAACAAAGCTCAACATTTGCATCGTCGTCAACGGATATCCCTCCCGCTCCACATTCGAGTAAGATATATAAAGTCGTACTACCCTTCTTATCCAACGCATTGGCATCAACCAATTTACAATCTATTAGACGCTTAATCATCATTCTGTCGCTTCCCATGCACGTCATGTGCAGAGGCGTCATATCCCTTTCATCCGCAGCAATGATATACAGGCCCGCTGCGAGCGGTGCATCTAATATGCGACCTTGACCATTACAAAGGGTGAACTGTAGATATGTGAGACCCCCAGAGGCTATGCTGTCCCGACTCGAATCTAGCCTCAGATCCTGACTGAGACGCAGCAGCGTCTCTGCCATTGCGTAATTCCCTTCCTCGATAACATTGTGCAGCATCCGCTTCCGAAACGTTTTTAACGGCGACTTGCAGCGCTCGACACCCTAGAAGCCGAAGTTGGCTTTCAACATGGCGCGCCAGAGGTCGTGGACCGGCGGCTCTTCGGCCCAGATAGTACCTGTACCGGCGAGGTCGGCGTCGTATGCGTCACGGATTTCGTCCAGGTGGAAGGCCTCAGCGTCGCCTAGTAGAGAACTAAAGGTGAACAAGTCTTCCACCTTTGCCGTGTGATTGAGGGAGCTTGTTTCTTTGTGAAGGGAGGCCATGGTTGATTTTGCTTGGGACACAGTGAGGGCTTTGACGGAGATGTTCTTGGTGCTGCTCATCGAAGACAGATTTTGAGGCTGGGAATTCTGATTTATGTGGTGAAATAAGAGGTCGATACAGTTTTCGTAATGGGCCAAGATGGCCTAATGCAGTGCTGTTCAGTCGTTGCGGTCCGCTCGATAGGAGTCTACACCATGGTCCGGGAGCGTGGATATGGCTCGTTCAAGGCCTTTGAATACTGCCCAAAGGAGGGGAGTCGAATGTGAGGCGTCAGGAGCACTCACTGATGCGCCGGCTTCGAGTAAGGCGTGCACAATTACGTGGTGGCCTATGAACCCTGCTTCTGAGATCGGTGTCCAAACATGGGAGTCGGGAGTATTGATATCAAAGAGCGCCCAGGGATTGGCTTTCAGCAGGTCATGAACTAGCTCCGAGAAACCCTAGTAGGGAGCCACATTCAATGGTAACTCGGAACGGGGTATGTCACGGAACACATAGGTTGCAACGTACAGCTCTCCATGCGATGTGATATGTAAGACCTGCCACGAGGCTCCTCGCAGAGGATTATCTTGGAGGAAGTTCCTAAGTTTCGCACAGCACTGCTTTTCTACCGCCCTGGCGTGGTAGCCGATGAAATGCACAGCGTAATCGAGGAAGGGAAGTGTTGGAGCCTGTGCTGTAAGTCACCGAATTTTTTTAGCCGGAACTTTCGCGTATTGGCTTGATAAATAAATAGGGTAGATAAATCCGCGATATCGGCAGGGTTGACTTGAACTAATTAACGGTATCCATCGCCAGTACGAAATTCATGGCGGTTCCATGCACCATGCCTGGAATGCGATCGGTATAGACAGAGCGACCAAACTAAGGCAGCAGGATAGAAGCGGCCTATCAATCTCCTCCATATTCGTTGTGGACAGTGCCTGTAGCAATTCCTGGAGTTTCAGGGGCCGTTTGGCATAGCAGATCCACACCATGACCTTGGCTGCCAGCGTTTTGCGGCCAGCGTTTTGCGGCCAGTGTTTTGTTTGGTGATACGCTCTATCGTTCTTCCACATGACTCTTTGTAATCAGCGGGCGGCGACTTGAGAGCTTGGCGAATCTTTTTAATGGTAGCAAGACTAATTATGTGGTACATGTTCAGCCGTGCTACCAGGAAACACCCGTCGATGTGATCAATCACTGGAGAGGTCAGGTCGGATTCGAAGGACTGCAGCATGAGATCGTAGTCGACTTCGCTTTCTTCTTGTAACTAGGATGTCAACATGCGGCCACTTATCGAAATGCTTGCGAATATGGATAGGTCGCGTGAGGAAGCGGAGACTTTCAAGCCGGTCTCTGATAGCTTTGACATTAGCTTTGCCGGTTTCACTAGGAAGAGATATTCCTCGAGGCCGTCTAGAACTGCGTATTCCACTGACATGTTGTTGATAGCAATTGATATGATATCGGTAATCTCACCAGGAAGGGGGGAAGGAGGGAATTGATTAACTTCTCCTCGTTCGACAGGTTAACAACATAATACGGTACAGGGCCATCTTAGTCCAAGAGTCGCACGGCAAGATGCTGCAGAAAGCCATTCAGGGTCTCATTGGATCGTTTCGCGCGTTTTACAATATATAGCTTTATTCCTTTAGCTAGACTTAGATATCTACACGTAACACTATCGAGCCATGTAGTAACTTATACCTCTAGTTTGCGACGGGACAGTGGTCATAGTTTCCGGAGACGTTATTGCCCCACCAACTAGGCATAGGGACCGCCGGTCCTCCCGCGCCAAAGACAGCAAACGAAAGAATGAATAAGCACGTAAGACTTGCACCATCGAAGGCACCAGCGATGAGGTACGAGTATTCCTTAAAGATACGCGGTCGATAGTTGCGGAGGTAGAACTGCGTATAGAACCCAGCAATAATCCAGCTAAGCAAGACACACGTTTGCGACTGGTTATATGGAAGATAGCCCGCATACTGTATGAATTGCGGGAAGTTGATCTCGTTGACAGAGAATTTGCCAATTTTAGGAACGAACTGCAATGAAATCAGTAATCAAAAGAAGCAACACAATCAGAATTTATGCATACGTACGTGTGCGAAGATCCGGTGCGCCGCGACAACGCCGGCACCGATAAGAAGACCGAAAGGAACAATCGAATATATAGCTCCCTGTTTATAGAGATAGGCTGCGAGAGCCCAAGTGGAAGCATTGGTGTTGTACGATTGAATCGTCGCACCACTCCATGATGAGTCGCCATTGGTATTAGCAAGGACGTTCTGGTTACCAGTAACGATCGAGATCATGATGGCATAGTTGATGAAGCCGCCAAGAAGAGTGCCATAGATTTGCGTCAAGAACATGACCCGTGGAGGGATTTTGACTGTTAGAGATTAGCTTTAGGTTAACGATGAGCTGAAAAGGGGTACTTACGATATTCTCCAAGTTTGAGGTCCATACTAAGTTGCACTGCACCATTGATTACGTTGTGGGACCACGCAGCAAAGTACATGTTACCGATAGGACGTCCAGGCAACATGAGACCCGCAATCACCTTAGAGAGATTGTTAGTCGCAATACCGTTACCGAATCGCGCGTACAGTATCGTACTCTGCATTGAGGTTAGCCGGTGCCCTATTTTATTGCGAAAGTGGCTGTGGACTCACAAAGGGCGAAATAAAAGTTCCCAGGAGGAGAGCTACAATGTAAGCCCATACTGGCAGGGTGACGTTCTCCTTGATGACGACTATCAGGCCGAGTATAAAACTAACGACAAGAACAATCATATACCACCACCAAGGTGCCTCCCGGTAGTGCCTGGCCATGTGCGCGTGGTGAGGGTCGCCAAATTTGCCTGCTTTGGCTGACTTGAAGGCTCTGACCACATCGCCACCCCAGAAGAGAACAATGTGAGCGATAAGAGCACCAATCTATACTGAATCAGCTAACAAGCCTACTCGTCAATAGTGGGTTACCTACCGCAGCGTTTGCCATGAACATGGCATAGGCAAAGGTGCCGGTCAGTCTGGGGATGCCGTAGGCGGCCAACGCGCTCTTGTTGAGCACGCCATTAACGAAGACTTTTGCGCTAGGATAAGCCTTGCCCTCCTCTGTCAAAAGCCGTGTGGACATGAATGGCAGTGATCTCGAGTTCCAAGCGTTGCCATAGTAGATTGCAAGCATGGCGACCATGCAGAAACCAAAACCTGCAGCTTGATGCAGCTGTAGTTTGAGCGGGAGGGATGACTGGAAGGATGTGATCTATCCAGGACGTTAGACTGAGTTTATCTCTGTATTTATGGTCATTGTCTTACATATTGCCAGTCGAGAGACAAGGTGAAGAGTCCCAGACCTTCATTATTGGACGCGCCACCAAAAAGGTTGGTAAGAATGGCGGCCTTGGAGCCTGTTGCATGCATGGCAGCCAAGCAGGGAATTGAGACCGAGTTCAACCAAGGGAATATATACGCTGGGAAGAACTCATAAATAAACATGCACGAGAAGGCGATCCAGAACCAGCGCAAAGGCTTAGAGTCTTTAACCGATTGCCAGTGTAGACCTTGAAGTACCTTGACTGTTGGTAGACTACTCCAGTACACCGAATCAACGTGCCACACACAAATAGGTCGCATAAGGCCGCAGATACCATAGCCGAAGAGTCCGATCGAAATGGTGCTGAAGATGACAGTGATGGGACTGAGTGGTAGCGAATAAAATATTTCCTGGGCAGCGAAAACCTGACTGCTAGGTGCAGCAATAGACGCCGAGGTAGCCGTGATTGATGTGATGGCATGTTCTTTGATATTCCAATCACCATGGTTAAAGAAGGATATGATCCGGATGTGCAAGGGTGCCAGTCCAACGCCACCTCCCGCTCTCCATTTAGCTTCAAACTTATCTCCTCGGGGAAGAACTTTAGCCCATGCCTTGCCCAGGAAATAGGCCATTAAGACGATAAAAGTTCCTTGGATAGTGACTAAAGTGGGTTTGAACTGCAACAAAGATTAGAAATTACGAGTCACCGATGTTTAGGGATATGAGCGCACTTGATAGATCTGGTATACAACAGCTTGGAATGCTGACAGAATGGTGGCCAGGAAGATGCTCCGAAATGTTAAAGCGGGCTCGAAGTCATCTCGCAACGGCAGCAAATGGGCAGCGGCGTCGGCTCCGGTGATGATAATGTGATTGTCGTCCTCGTCCTCACTGCCGTCGTGGGGAGGCAATCCAGCCTTGATTTTTGGTTCCAGCGCACCTTTTTTGTCGAGCGCTTCATCGCTGACAGCCAGGTCATGCTTCTCATCATTGAAAGAATTAATTACCTCGTGGCTCGGGATAACAGTTGCTTTACCCTCGACACCGGGTGCATTGCCCGTTGGGTTGGCAGTCATCACGCAGGTGAGTGTAATATACTGTTATGTGCAGCGTGCCATGTGGAAGGCCTCCAAGGTCCTATATAGTCTCTCTAGATACTCCTTCAAGCACGCCATCGACGCGTGAACCGGTGCGATAGCGCAAAGCGGCAGGGGCTGACATGAACATGGTATCAAGAGATAAAAACCATCCAGTCGGGCGGCAGAATGAACATGTCATGCAAGTGCGGAATCGGAAGTGTCCAAAGATTGCACAAGCACTATGCTAGAACAAGCGTAGTGAACGCGGCATGTTATCGCATAACCTACATCCAGAACCGATAGAACATGTCTCGTGCTTCGAAAAGGACCGAGTTACCGTACTAGTAGCGGAGAGATGCTCGGTATTGGCAAAGCTTAATCGACCACGCGATAAAGGTTAATTAAACACGCAGGAAGCAAGGATTCCCTCCCGTGCAACGCTATCTATTCCTGTCTGTAACGGGCCGAACGCCCTTAGGTAGCTCCTCGATAGAATCTCAGTTTAAGCTACGCTCGCGCCATCTGAACTACGTTCAGACGACAAGCGCAGAATCGAGGTATTACTCTAAGCATCTAGATTCTACTTACCGCCTAAGCCGCGCTTAGATACTTTAGTATAACCTTTCTCTAATAAGTAAATAAATACTACGTAAGTAGAGTAGATAGCTCCTTATTAAATATAATCTCTTATATACCTCGCAATTACTCTCTAGAGCGCAGCCTCTTACACTATCTAAGCTAGGCGCGTGATATCTCTATTCTTCTACCTACTATTATACGGGGTTAGATGCTCATAGTTCTCTAAGCTTAATCTATATTGGAGTAAGTAAGATAGTATAAAGAGCGCTATAAGGTGATTATCTAGCGATATAGTAGAGTAGCGTACTGTTACAAGCAACAACGGAAAGGATCCTCTCCCTGGTGATGATGGTATAGTGGTTGAGGAACCACTTAGGATACTAACCGGGAACGATGAGTATCGCGGGGCAAGGTCACGTGATACGCCATCACGCTAAGATGGTGCTATTAGTGATAGCAGGAACCGTATGTGATGGCAACTATCAGAAGTGGAGACAACCATCAGTGATGGCAGGTCGAAGTTCTGATAACAGGACTAGAAGCAATAAGGATATAAGGATGGATAGATTTCATTATTACTCTCGTTATGGTCAACTCAAATTATACTCTCTTACTAGTTACTTTACTTAATAAGATTGTTACTCGTTAGTCTATTTAATATAGATGAGTAGTTGTCGAACCTTTGTTACCTTCTATTTAAGCACACCACTCCACTGCATCGCCAGACAAACTCTCACGGCGCTCTTCACACCAACTCACTCGCCCTAACCCGGATCGAGCTTAGAGAAGTATCAGCACCAACCCCGTGTAACACGTACTTAGGCTGGTCATTGGGTCTCTACATCGGGATCTCAAAAACGCTATTATCTCCACCAATACTTACCCGATTGGGAAGTTTAGTAGCTTATTTTAAAGCTCTCTATCAGGGCTTTATTTTGCTATGTAATAATCTTATTAAGTAAAGTAACTAGTAAGAAAGTATAATTTCAATTAACTATAATAAGACTAGTAATAAAATCTATCTATCCTTTTATCCTAATTACTTCTAGTCTTACTATTAGAACTTTAACCTGTTATCACTAATAGCTATCTCTACTTCTAATAGTTACTATTATATATAGTACCTGCCATTACTAATAGCACTGTCTTAGCGTGATGGCGTATTATGTGACCTTGCCCCGCGATACCCGTCGTTCTCGATTAGTATCCTAAGTGGTTCCTTAACCACTATACCATCATCACTAGGGAGAGGATCCTTTCCGTTGTTGCTTGTAACACCTTGTTAGCCTATCCTAGTCATATCTAACTTATTAAAGCAGATATAAGCACGAAGAATACTACCTAAGCTCGGTAGCTGTTCGTCTACGTGAAATACAGACCGTTTACTCAAGACTACTATTATTTTACTCTACCCGTGCCTAATAACCCTAAAACGTCTCACACCTAGAGAGAAATCTACGTAGATTAAGATTAAGTATATACTTAATAACTATCTTCTCTTTAAGCTTAGTTAGATTTATTATTTTAGGTCTGCGATTTACTTATAAAGTCCGTCTAGCGCGTCGATCACCTAGTGTCGTATAAGGTACGTTAAAGATAGCTGCAGCGCGTCGTTCTAAGAGATTCGCGTCTTATTTAAGCGCTTAAAGAGTAAGCTGTATTTAATATTTACGAGAGGGCTCTAACTGCTGTTATTATTATGACATTTATTAGTAATAGGTAGTTTAGTGGGGTCTTGGCAAAAGTGGCCGGCGAACCCGTTGTTACAAGTAACAAGAAGGATTCTCTCCTTGACAAGTGACGAGATGGCGGAAGGCCTATGGACGTCCACGTCAGAAGGTAATGATCAACGCGGGGCGCTAATCACGTGATGT